GGGGGGGGGGGGGGGGGGGGGGGGGGGGGGGGGGAAGGCTAAATGACTAGATATAGTTCACATGAGACAGATCAAGAATTGGTCGCAATGAAGCCTTCTTATCTTAGTACTTAAATGTAGTGTAGTAATACAGGGTATTTAACACTTATGCGATTGGAGACGCGTGTTGTTGAGCCAACTGTCTTCAAGCAGTTACAAGTAACTCAGACTTAACTTTATAGGAGGGTTCTTTTGAGATTGTATGAGAAGGGGGATGTACTATGATTGAACTCTCGCTATCTACCTATAGGTAGTAAAAGGATGCAACCCTATCTATCTTATAAACCGCACGTTACAACCGACTTCTTTATTTTCTGTTGCATCTTTTGGCACGAGAAATCTTATAGATTCAACCATATGAAGGTTAATCCAGACCTATGCCCAAGTACAATCGTATTGCCACAGACGAATGTATTAAAAGCTCTGTGGTCTTCAGGAATAAAAAAAAGGCTTCTTCCATCTTTCTTTATCCAACCCTCGTTGAATGGAATACGTTGGACTTGCAGGCCGTTTGAGAGGTTTGCGTCTGGGCTCAAAGGCTTTTCATCTGCCTGGAACAACCTCATCTTTCCCCAACGATCCATGTGGAAAAATCGGCCATCTGGCAGAAACACGGGAGAGCTACAAGTCTCCCCTTCTGGAACATTCGCCTTGAAGTTCTGCAGATGCTTTCCCGTTGCTATATCCCATAACTCTATTTCATGGTTGTGGGCCTGGTCCCTTCTGTAGACAGGATGTGCCGATGCCAGCATGTTGTCATTTGGGAAGAAGGCAAAGGATTTGGGTCCTGGATAGACGTGGGGTACTGCCTCCCACAGGCACATGTCTGCTGCTATGTCCAACAGCATCAATCTTTGAGCATCGAATCCCACCGCTAGCCTGTTGCCATCTGGTGAAAATGCAAGCTTTCTCACCTTTGTTAACCCGCGGCGTAGGGTTTTCCGGTAGGTACATTCCCCGGCCACTAAATCCCATAACTGTATTTGAGACGGCGGGTCTAATGGCAGATATTCCATGGTCTTTAGACAACTCGCGGATCCCAATGCCAAGATCTTAGCATCCGCTGCGAACTCAATGGCGGTATACTCGAAGCGACGGTCGTTTTTCTTGGCATTTGGCAAAATTGTAACCTCTTGCTGGGCGATAATATCTGGCCAATAGTCCTCAATTATTCGCCGGCATTCCCCTGTTGCAGTATCCCATATCTGTATCGTGTTGGCTTTTGCGTATGCCACCGTGTTGCCATCGAGTGAGAGCGCGAATACATCATGTACTCCAAACTCATCGGATTTATCCTTCTCTTGTATGCTCATTGTTGCGTCCCATAGCTGTACTTCTTTGTAACTTGCCGACGCCAGTATCTTATTGTCTGGTGAGATCGCTATTATCGTTTCGTCAATTATCATGGAAGTTTGCATAACAATCCCCGTCGTTAAATCATATAAATGCCTTCCACTTTGGAATCTTAAACCATCTTGGAAAAATTCAATATTTCCCCCAAGCCACTCAAACTCTTTGAGAAGGTCGCCCGTTGCTGCATCCCATAGTCGTAATTTGCTCGCACATCCTGATGCTATTTTGCTACCATCTGGTGAAACTGCAATAGCTTCTATTCTGTCTTCATGGCCTTGAATTGTCTGCCGAAGTAGGCCTGTTGTGGTATCCCATAGGTTGATCGAGCCATATCTCCATCCTGATGCTAGTGTCTTACAATCTGATGAGAATGCGAAAACAATGATGTCTTCGTAGTCTTGATAACTTAGCGCGGGCTTCTCCAACCGTACTATACGGCTGGAATGGCTTGCCTCCGGCATCCCATCATCTAGCGATAATGTAATATACGTTATCCAATAGCCGAGGTGATCGAATCCCTTTGCCCCTTCTTTCTCGAGTTGTTCGTGGAGCAGTTCAATGTTCCTTTCTTCCATTGGATCTCCTTCGGTAGCAAGCAGCAGCATTCTGTTATCTGGCGAAAACGCAATGGCTGATTGACCAACATCATAACATGGAATTATACATTTGAGCGCACCTGTTGCAACATCCCAACAACGTAGATCTCCATTCAGAGCCTTTGACGCCAGCATCGCACTATTGCGTGAAAATGCGAGATTCCGAACAATACCAGTGTGGCTCTTGAGCATCTGCAAAAAGGCACTTTTTCTAATGCCTTGGATATCCTCTATGAAAGATAGTCTCTCATTCCAAGGTATGGATTTTGCGTGATCATGCAATGGGCTGAATATAAGGGCTGAACCGTATACCTGGAGCGGTGATTTGGCAATGAGCGCCCCATTGCGAAGAATAAAAGATTCTATAGTACTTAGAAATCTCGCAAACTGAGTATTTTCACCATGTGGTAGCTACAAGTACTAGTCGTTAGCATCTTATATGACAGAGTCTCAGGCTCTGAGCACATACCTCTAGGAGAAGTTTTCGTATGAAACGCAAACCTTCTGGAAGTCCGTCGAACAGAGATAGACTCTCTATCCAACGAAGGAAATAGCTCTCCAAAAAGGGCTCCAACGTCTCAGTGATGATTACTTGAGCCTCATTCTTGGTGTTTGCGGCGCATGTGTCGCAAAGATGATTGGCCCAATAAAAGCATGAGTATCTCATTGAAGCTAGAGGATTCGGATCGGGTGGCTGCGCATTTTCCGGCCTAGGTCCAAAGTCTGTGAGGCCGTAAATATTTTTGGGTAGCTTTGATATAGCTGCGACTGATCGCTCAAAGACATCCAAATGTCTTTGAGCGGCGTCAGTCGAATACATCTCTTTGGCCAAATAGTCTTTTGCGGACTGGTGGATAAAATAGACATAACCTTCGTTCAGCGTGACAAACGAACCACACATTGTTACTAGCGTTTTAATCGACTCGGAGATCCCAGAAATCTGATCCGGCAGGCCAGCGAGAACTCCCAATTCAGCCAAGCTGAGTGGAAAGTATGCTGTAAATATTGTTGAGAGCATATTTCTGCAAAGATGTCCATTTTCTTCCTCCAAACTGTGGATATGGTCTATCATTCTTTTGTAGAGCGCTGTCAAGCCCATTGGCATCTTTTCAACTACTTTCATTATTTCCCAGACCTGAACTTCTTCAATTTTTTTCATCACCAGAGATGCCCATAGAAACGTGCCTTGAGCTTTTTCTTGTATTTTGTTTCGTAGCTCATCTTGGCGGCCTTGGTCATTCCGTACCGAATTTAGGCGTGAAACGCTGTGATTTATATAGGCATCCACGGCTTCGGATACACAGGATGCATTTTCCTTCAACTCGAGGCTAAGGATGCCCTGAGGTATGTATGATTCAAGTCGCTGCTGAATGCCAATTACGTTCCTGCTAGATAGAATACACTTGACATGTAAGGGGGCGAGTTGCTGCACTATGGCCTCTAAGAGCATCGGCAAATCTGTCTCGCACTCATCAAGCGCATCAATGACTAGGATTACTTCCTTCGCTTTTGAGTCTTGCAGGATAGCTATAAGTATCTCAGATAGGGCTACCCAGGCATTTGCATCTGAGAAAAGATCTTTGCCTGCATGCTTGTATCTTGCCTGAACATGAGACATAAGCGAAGGTTCCTGAACTACGAGGAGATAAATGAGACCACGTAGTACAGCGGTTGCGTTATTGATTCGTGCGTCGGTGCCTTGACAGAAGAAGTAGGACAAGAGTACAGTATTCGTAGTTGGTTCCGTCGGCTTCGCTAGTTTCGTCGTTGGCGTCAACTCATCAATTATGCCACAGAGCAGCATCGTCTTTCCCTTCCCTGGATCGCCTTTAATCCAAAGGATTCTGTTTTGCGCATTATCGCGCCAATCTTTAAAATTCTTGTTCTCGAGAATCCAACGGTACGAGTCTATTAGAAGGCCGCCCTTTGTGTTTTGGATGCGCAGTTTATCATCGCGGGGATCGGTCGAACGCAAATCCTTCAGGCACTGGTTTTCTTGATCCGATGCATGGTTATGGACATCGCCTTGAGTGATTGTGACATTATTCCCAAATTGATTATTGGAAACATCGCGAGTCTTTGAATTGCTCTGACCCATTGCGGCCGAAGTGTCATAGACGAGGAAATGACAATTGTCTTGTTGCGTGTTTTTGGATGCAGAGCCTTGGAAGCAATCTGAAGTAGCTACTTAAAATGATCGGATAATGAAGACCAATGACATTTGACTGATATCTGCCCAACCCCTCATTCACGACACGGCCAATCAAGTACATTTGCGCTGTTATTCCGCTTTTTTCCATCAAGCAACGTATATGATGTACATGGCTATCCCGTTTCCTCTATACTTATTTCTCTGTGCCTCTTCCTCTCTCAGGATTCCAAGGGGATAACGGAACGGTGAGGTATTCTCATGCCAGCTCGGCTGGGGTTTTCAAGCATACGCACAGCCAACTGTAGATTAATACAACACTTAATGCTGTTAGAGAGCTTCGTAGCGTCGTAAATTACTTCAACTATACAGACGCATATACAAAGCCTTTATACTTGTAAGATTAAAAAATGTTTATCAAGTAAAGCTGTAAAGCTTTACAAAGTAACCACTAGAGTTAATTGCTAGCTTTTAGCTTGATTTAATAAATACTAACGCTGAGAAAGTCCATAATTCTTTAATTTTTATTTATATACTTTATTATAATAAAATACTTTTAGTATTAAAAAGCATCATACCTTTAAGTTTTTAAATAATAAAAGTTATACTAATATAACCTTAGTAGGCAAGAATAAACCAGTCTAATATTTTTTTAAACTAAAAATATTTCAACAATTCTAATGCTTAGTGTACTTCCCGCTTGAGTGCTCTGGTTTACCAGCCCAGTTTAGCTTACATAGCGCTAGTAACACTTGCTTCTATGCCTAGTGTTGGGTGCTTTAGCTACATATGTAAATAGCCTCATCAGGGATCAAGATTGTTTGATCCTTGGGGTAAAGCTCTGTCTCCACCTATAATTCCATTGTGCTTATTTTAAAGCTACCTAAATGCAATACTTCGCCAATTAGTAAAGAGTAGTAAGCGATTAGGCATTAATTATAAATACGAAAGTAACCTTGACGTATAGTATTTTGAACGGTCTGGTTCATGTCCAGATTTGTCATTCCTCAGAATCTAAGCTGTCTAGAAGCAAAAGTGTAATATAGTAGCAAAGGGTTGAAGGATAAAAGCATGACGAGTTCTTATTCAAATTTCAGCTATTACCACTGCTTATACAATCCCAAAACTACATAGAGGTAATATGCGTTTCTCATTGGCATCTGTTCTCTTGAGCGTTGCATGGCTCGCCTGTGCTCACTCTAACTCTGTGACCACTTATGCCCCTTTACCTTCCACCGCTTCCGGTCCTCCAGTGAATAGCGAAGGATTCCGCGTACAGTCGTTTGGTGAAGGAGCATACATGCTTGCAGATGGTATCTATCAATCTTTATTTTTTGTCACACCTAAAAGCGTCATCATGATTGACGCACCACCCACAACTGGAGAAAATATCCTTGCTGGAATTCGATCAGTGACACATTTGCCAATCTCGCATCTTGTCTACAGCCACCATCATGCCGATCATATTGGAGCGGCGTATCTCTTAGCCAACAAGGATGTTACTATCATCGCGCATGAGTTGACAGCATACGAACTCTCTCTTACACCTGATGCGCATCGACCACCACCTCATGTTACGTTCAAGGACTCTTATACTCTACGGGTAGACAACCAGACTATTCAGCTGGATTACAAGGGCCCCGTTCACGACCCCGGCAATATCTTTATATATGCGCCTAAACAAAAGGTGTTAATGGTTATTGACATTGTCTTTCCCGGCTGGGTCCCGTTTGCTTCTTTGGCGGAAGCACAGAACCCCACCATGTTTATCAAAGCACATGACCTGATCTTGGAATATGATTTTGACTACTACATTGGAGGACACGTTGACCGCGCCGGAGTTCGTAAAGATGTTCTCATTCAGCAAGATTATATCCAGGACGTATACAATAATGCTCGCACAGCCATCCTTCTCAGCAACAGCCCTCCAAACGCAACGAATCCGCTTTCGGCCTCTACCATTCTTGGTCCTATTGAGGCGGCTAATCCAGATAACGCATGGGCAATGTTTGCCGGATACGTCGACACTCTTGCGCAGTACTGCGCCAATGTAACAACTGAAAAGTGGCTTGGCAAGCTGGGAGGCGCAGACGTATACACATACTCTCACTGCGAAGCCTTGGTGGAATCACTTCGCATTGATTATGGTGTCTTAGGTCCTTTTGGTGTTCAGCCTAGTTAAGAGGAAGAGGAAGAAAAAGAGGGTAATTATATAGTCCGGTGAGGGCGCATGTAAATGCTTTAAGCGGGCATTAGACTTATAGTTGACAATCCTTTACAAAGACGCGTTGCCAAGATTACTCTACCAAGCACTATGGCCGAGATATTCAAGGTTAATCTACTGAGCAATCTCTATCCTGGGGCCCTGGTAATGCTTCTTTGCAAATGCAAACCAATTAGCAGCCATGACAATCGCAATAATCGCTAACACAACCGCGGCATAATCTGTGAAACAACTAAAGTCAGCATGTCTTTCACTAGTATCATCATCTCAAAAATAAAGAAAGGAAGCCCACTCACTCATATTATCACCCGTCACAGGCAAAACCGTCGGAAACGTAAAAAAGACAGTTTCAATAACGGCCGCAACAATCGTCCCAATATTACAAACCCAGCCCACCATCTCAGGGACTTTAAACGCCCTCTTCCTCGGAAGCACCTTTTCGCTCCTCCGGCGATATATCAACAACGCTGCAGGAATCGCAAAGGAAATCATCTGCATCAGAGAAAAGACGCCCACGAGGGCATTGAACGCAGCCGAAGAGGCCAGACTTATACATCCGCAGACAAAAATCAGCCCGGCGTCGAGAAGGAGGGCCGCCACGGGGATGTCGCCCAGCTTGGGAGATAGTTTGGCGAATTGTGAGGAGAAGGCGAGGCCGCGATCACGGGCGAGGGCCCAGAGAAGGCGAGACGTGGTTTGCTGAGTAGCGGCTATGATGTATGTGGTGAGGAGGATGACAATGACGAGGAAGACAGTGCCGGCGGTATCGGATTTGCTGGCTAGGCGCCATAATTTATAGACGGGTACTCTGTTGATTCACATAGTGTAAGTCAAAGCATAATACGTTTACTCATGCATTGGAAAAGGAAAGAAGGGGGCTTTCATATGACTTACAGATCATTTGCCAAAGTATCCAAACTCGGGAGACAATAAGCCATGGCCACAGAAAAGACCAATCCAGAAAAGAAGCCAATCCCAATGGTAGACATGAGCGCCTTTGGCACCGTCCTAGAAGGATCCAGCGTTTCTTCCGCGAGATGAAGCGTAGCGTCGAGGCCTCCAAACATGTAGGCATGGGTGGTGAGGCCTGTGAAGAAGGACACGACAGGCGTCCAGCCTGAAGAAGACTCAAAGTTGGTCCATACCCAAGTTGAAGTCTGTTTATCGCCTCGGGCGAGACAAACGACGCAGATAGAAACGAATAAGAATAGAGTGAGAAAGACTTGTTCAATCATAATTAGCATTTGGTTTCATACTCTCACGCTCATATAGAGAGAGACTTACAAGCTGCATCATGTATCCAATGCGTCCTCTTCAGCAAGAACAAATTATATACCAACCCTATCACATTAAGTGCCTGGGAAATGAGAAACAGCTGCCAAGCGCTCGCTTCAAATCCATTATAAAACTCAGCAATGGCAGCGATACACAGACTCGTAACGCTAGCCACACTGGCAGAGCATATAATCCACGAAATCGTCGCAACCATGCCGCAAATATACGATATCGACCTGTTGAACCTCTTTGGCGCCATGATGCTCGCAAAGTGGTATTGACCTCCGGCGGTAGGGTAAACACTGGCAAGCTCGGCGAGAGTCACGGCCGCGGCGCCGTACATGGCGGTGATGACAAAGTTGCCGTATATCAACGAGACAGAACCTCCGGCAGTCAAGGCGGCTGAAAGTGCTACGGCAATGGCCAACCAACTGTTGGGGATGTTGAAGCCGAGAGCGATAATCTCAAAGGTCCCCATATCGCGGGGAACGGCCTGGGGGTTGAGCTGGGTCAGTTCTGCTTGCTGGGTGCTCTCTGAGCCTGCTGATTCCAGTGTATGCCCAGGTTCAGTCTTTTCGGATGATTTTCCATCTTGCTGGTCCATTTTGTTTGGGTAGAATCGCCAGAGGGCTGATGATATGTCCCAGCTTTTTGCGATATCAAGAGAATAAGGATCATAAAGAACTACAAGCAAAAGGGCATTTGCTAGTTATTAATTACGAATTAGGTCTGTACTCCCGTACAGCTATTTGAATTACTTGACAGCCTACAGACATGGCTCCCTGTCTTGTGTCTCAGTAGGCAAGACATGATAAGGAGCGCCCGGATGATGGTTTGATGTCGACATGGCATAGCTGAGACGCACAACTGGTTTGTAGACATACATATAACCATAGCAAAACTGCATAAGAATCTCTTTAGTATTTTTATTCTAGTTTTTGCGAATATGATTCATGGCAGGTATGACGAAATGGATCACGGCCACCTATCGCCATCATTCCAACCATCCCGAAAACCTGAATAACGCTAGAGACAAGAGCACATCTAAACGACAACCAATTTGGATCTATGAAAGCCATGTAGTGGCACATCGGATCGACGTAATGGACACAGCATAGAAACGGAGTCAACCTCTGTCATGTCGGCGACGTATGGATCGTTTTGGGAGAGACTGTCCAGGAAAATCACCCATGCTTGAGACATCAATTCTAAGTTAGGCTGGCTTATCAGCTTGTGCGACACTTTGCACTGCCATTGTGTCACACAGCATCCATCATTTTGATGAGTCAGTGTAAGAAGGTGGTGGACGCTTTGGAGAGACGGATGTTTGTGATGACGATGAGTATAATTGTCATGAAGATGTGCTGGGCTCCGCGATGGAGTCGAAATGGCTGTGGATGCACTTTTAGTATGAAGCTGCCTGCTGGTGACCAGAGAAAGTCCGGAAATAGAACTATGAGCATAGAAAATAGAAATAGCTTTATTCCCTTTGTCTTGGCTGAAAGACAGCTCTCTAATTGCAGTGAAGACCGAAGAGATAAGAAATTTCCATTCTGAGAGTACTCTCGTAGTACAGCAATCAAAAGGAAGCGCACAGCTAGAGCTTGGAAGCAAACGCTCCACTGCCCTTGCAGCCGGGAATCTCAGATTCCATCCCTCGTAAGTTAGCGACTGGCCAATAACCCGATGCTCGCCCAACTGTCCAGTGGCACATCGGCTGTGGGTACAGGGACATCACTTCGCTGATAGCAGGCAAAGTAGCCACTCACCAAGACACAGACAATCTCTCCAATGCGGTTGGACGCCGGGGCACATCATCGTCACAGCAAAAGCCACACACCATCGGCTCCATCGCCGATTTTGGTCCCATCGCCGCCGCTTCTCCACACGCACTATCATGGGCGCTAGATACAGAGGTACGGCACAAGCTTGTTTCCAGTTGGAACGCAGTGAAGACGCAGTTTTATCAGGCATAGAGTTCTCTCTTCTGCGTAAGGATCCTCGGGTATGTTGGGGCCATGGCCTGTGTGATTCCTTCAAAATGAGGTGCGACGTTGGCTCTGGCGAATCCCATGTCGAGTCGCTCAAAGACTAGGAAATTGGCGTTACGTGTCCGAGCCCCGACGTTCCGCTGCTCTATATGCATAGGTCGAGGCGATAGCTAGACCGGTCCGTGCCCGAAGATGTGCTACACTTGCAGTTTAGCTTGCCTGGTCAGATCTTTAACGGATAGCATACGGCGAGGTGGTTTCGACCTGCATGGCTTGACAGTGGCGATCCAAGAGCTCAAGTTATTCCAGGTAACACCAATGCTCGGTATCCTAATCTGTACCGGCACTTTCTGTACGAGTAATCCTCTGGCAACGGGAAATACGAGGCCGACTCGAGAAGCGGCTGCAGGCAGTTTGTGCTCCCCCAACATTTTATTTGCGTTGCTCGCGTGCAGGCCTTGGACGATTAGCGCGGAGGGCGTTAGCCAAGTATAGAAGATACTGAGGCTACCCGCATAACGAAGAGGAGTAATAGATAGACAGTGAGAATGGCCAAGATGGCCTCGAGCCGAGGCAGCTCTTTGTCTTCCCGTGATCAACTTCCACAAGCACGAAGCCAAAGAATTGGTGTGTTGGCGTGCAGAAGCTCGTTCCCCAGCGCCATGCAAGCCATGCCGCTGGCCGCTAAACCCCTCACGGCATTGATCCCTCCAAGAGTTGGAAACCGCCGAAACCACATACCTAAAACGTTGGAGAGTCCGCTAATATTCCTCCATTCGCGGGGTCTGCCAACGCTGTTAGTCGTAGCTGCATCAGCTCTTGGCTGGGGATCCGCAGCTGTTCAAGGACCGTTTAACCTAGCCCAGGGTTTATCTCCCTCTGTCATTTCTTAATGCTTTGTTCTCCCGGGAGCTTGTGCCTCTAGCCGTTGTTTTCTTCTTCTTCCTCTTAGATGCAGCTTTCCCTCGGTTGCTGCTTCTGGCCGGCCCATGCGTCCTTTGCCTCGTTGTCGGACATTGCCTCTGTCATGGTAAACAGAGTTGCGTTTCGCATTCCGTAAAACTGCCTGTGGCCTCTTCTGTCTCCGCTGGCAGCAGGAAAGCTCACGCGAGTCACTGACATTCAACGACTGGAAACTTGGGAGAGAGTCAAGGCGAGACGAAATCAGAAGGCAGAGCTTTTCTTATAAAAGAGACTCGCAATCCAAGCCAGTGGATGTCTGTCTCTTCTATACGCCTCCCTTTCTTCTGTGTCCAGGCACACTGACTGAGTTGGCGGGTCGAAACAGCTGAGCTACAGCCGCCGGCCAGCTGTGCGACATTCTGTACGAGCCCAAGCGAATCGGGGGCTTTGAAGGGCAACTGCTTACTATAAAGCAAACGGATTCTTGTTTCCCATCTTTGAAAATATTCGCAAAAAGCTACAATGGACAGCATCGCAAAGGAAACCGGCGAAGCTGCTCAAACCACCGACATGGGCGCCGTCGATACCCCCCGCAGCGGCGTCTTCCACAAAATGTCCAACTCGGCCAGCAGCACGGAGGCCCTGCGTTTCTGGCGCTCCAAGAAGGATTCCTCTCAGGACTTCAGTCTGCAGGAGCGCGAGACGCCCAGCAGCGACGAGCAGAATCCCGACATCGAGAATGGCACCTCGACCGAGTACCGGACGTATAAGCGGCGGTGGTTTGGCCTTGCTCAGCTGACGCTCATGAACATTATGGTGTCTTGGGGTGTAAGTCAGGTTGAAGAACCACATCTCGAGATCGCATGCCCTTTCTTTGTTCAATAGCTAATAACAATTGCAGTGGCTCACCTACGCCCCCGTCGTCAGCGACTCGGCCACCTACTACAACGTCTCCTCCTCGGCAATCAACTGGCTCAGCACCGCCTTCTTCCTCGCCTTTGTCGCCATCTTCCCCGTCAGCATCTGGGTCGTCAACCGCGGCTTCAAGTACGGCTTCATCTGCTCCGCCTCGCTGCTCATCGTCGGCAACTGGATCCGCTACGCCGGCGCCTCCAAGGCCTCTGGCGGCATCTACGCCTGCGCCATGGTCGGCGAGATCCTGATTGGCTTTGCCCAGCCGTTTGTGCTTGCCACGCCGGCCAAGTACTCGGATCTGTGGTTCACCCACCGCGGGCGTGTGGCTGCCACTGCTTTGGCGACTTTGGCGAATCCCCTGGGCGCGGCGCTCGGGCAGTTGATTAACCCTCTGTGGGTGAGCTCACCAAAGGACGTTTCGCAAATGGTCCTTTACGTCTCCATCATTGTAAGTGTTTTAACTCCCAACATATATCTATATCAGATCTTAGTTGTAACTAATGGTCGATCAGTCCACGGCTTGCTCAGTAACAGCCTTCTTCATCCCCTCCAAGCCACCCACTCCCGTCGGCGCCTCTTCAGAAACACCAAAGATGCCGCTCCTCCCATCCATCCGAACCGCTATCCGCTCTCTCGAAGTTTGGCTCGTCTTCATCACCTTCTCCGTCTACGTCGGCATCTTCAACGCCGTCTCTAGTCTTCTCAATCAGATCCTTGTGCCGTACGGCTTCACAGATGACCAGGCCGGCATTGGCGGCGCCGTCCTCATCGTCGTCGGTCTCGTCACAGCTGCTATTACTTCACCCATCCTGGATCGTACGAAGCACTTCCTTCTCTCTCTCAAAGTCATCGTTCCCATCGTCGCGGCATGCCTCATCATCTTCATCTGGATGCCCCAAACCAAGGGCCTTGCCGGTCCGTACGTCATTCTCGCCATCATCGGCGCAGGATGCTTCGCCGTCGTGCCCATCGCTGTCGAACTGCTAGCCGACTTGAGTCACCCCATCAGCCCTGAACTCACATCCACTGCGGCCTGGGCCGGCGGCCAACTCTTTGGCGCCATCTTCGTCATTGTGAGCGACCCGCTCAAGGGCGGAAACAATGCCAATCCTCCCGAGAATATGAAGAACTTTCTCATCTTCCAGGCCGTTCTCGCTGTGGCGGCAACGCCTCCGATCCTTGTTTTGGGCTGGTTCGGTCGAAAAGACAAGGTCATTTTGCGAAGATTGCAGCCTCAGCAGGAGCAAGAGACATGAGCTGGTGCCGCAGGGCAGAGCAGGCCTTGTATCAGATACTCGTCTTTCTTAAACTGATTTTATGACCCTACGACGACTTTGGGATAGTTTCATCCCAAAGCATTGTTTCCAATATTTGCGAATTTGATTTTCCTGTCTTTTGACAACGCCTGAGACGTGTATATGAATGACTGCTTGATGTTTAGCAGGGGTATATAACGAGTATACTGCAATCTCAATGTAATGTTCAAAATTAAGCAATACAAAAGAGATGTGCTTCACTTTCGTCATCTTGAGAGTGGTAATAAGTAATATTAGTGATAGTGATACCATACTTGTTTGTTTGAATATTTGAGAATTGTAAACATATAATTCCCCATATCTTGATTCTAAACCTTCTTGTGCCCCCCCTTTTTCCTTCCAATATAATCCGTAAACCAGTAACAATTAAAGTCTTTGTAAAACAAAATGGTATAAAATCAGCAAAGATTTAAAGAACATCGCTCACTCTTTCTTCTCCAGCTTTATAATCTTCGCCCACTGATGCCTCAACCTCTCCATCTCCTCCCACGCTCTCGCTCCCTCCTCTTCAAACTCAATCAGCGACTCCTCCGTCGCATTCTTCGCCCCCAATCGTCTGCCCACCGATTTATGCAGCAGCCCCGGCGCCGTATCAGCTGCAATCGTCTTGCTTGTCTCGACCTTGCCCTCCCACCCCCAGCCGTCCACCTCCGTCTTCTTCACGTCCGACACGAGATGTCTGTCCGTCGAACTGCCCCATTTGATCCTGTCGGCCTGCATGTCGTCCAGCGCGGCCTGGTCCTGCAATGCTAGCCAAGCTGCTGATGTGGAACCCCTGTAGCCGTCGACGTTGTGCCACGGCGAGCCGATCCAGCGCGCAACCACCAGCGCAAGCTCATACGCCCAAAAGAAGAACCACGGCACGGGGAACAGCGTGCTGGCCACGACGCCGGGGTGCGTGAGGTACATCTTTGGCGGGACGGGCTTCTCGGCAGCGTCTCCGCCGGATTCTTCGTCAATCGTCAAAAAGGGCCGCGAGTATTTCTGAACGGAGGGGAGCGAATATGAGAGGGAGACGATGTCGGTGAGGCGCTTGACGGATTCGTACGCGGCGGGCTTGAGGAAGCACTGCATGTCGTCGGCGACGTAGACTTCTTGTATGGCTTCTATGCTGGAGGACCAGACGATTCGGCCGCGGGACTCGGACGCTGAGTGGCGAGACAGCAGCGGCAGCAGCTGGTGGGCGAGGACGTAGTGGCCAAAGACGCAGGCGGTAAACACTTCGCCAAGAAGAGGCTTTTCGGGCTATATCTCGCAGTTAGCACACGAACAACAGAAACAGATCATACCGGCAGGGTTAGAACATACATAGCCATAGCTCTTCTGCTCATTCAAAACACTCGTCGGCAGCGAATTTTTAAACGTCGGATACGTGACCGCCTGCACCAACCCCTCGCTCAAAATCTTCCATACAGCCTTGGGATAATTGCACCCGGACCAATTCCCATACGCCGCGTTGAAAATCACCGTGTCCAGCCGCGGAATCCTCACATTTCGCAAATACTCGCCCTCCAGCCCTTCCGGATTGCTCACACGCCCGCGGCAAAGCTGGTCGGCAAAGGCGTACACGCCGCGCAGGTCGCACAGGTCCAGCGTCAGGCTCAGCACGTGGATACGCCGCACGGCGTCCTGCCAGTTGTATTCCTCCTTTTCGTCAGCGTCATATCGGGCTCGCAGCGCCGTCGAGGTCTTGGCCGCGTGCTCGGCGTGTGCTCGCAGCGCCGAAATGGCCACCAGGGATTTGGAAGCGGACCGCGTCGTCGGGATGAGAATCAGGTGCGATGTCAGCGACCGCGTCGCGAGGAACTCGTCAATGAGGCGCTGTCCGGTACCGAGACCGATGCCGCTGTATCTCGTGGCGAGCCAGTTAGCAACTTTTCGTTCCTTTTCCACGAATCAAACGACGGGCAAAGGAATCGCGGCCGCAGTGGGAAAAAAAGGGTCAGCCGCCGCCGCCCGTTATAGAGTAAGAGTAATACTATACCTGTTTGCGCCTGTAATCAGGACAAAGAGCTGGTCTTCTGGCGCGACAGTCTCCCACGGCGCTACTGCCGATCCTGCTGCAGCTGCGGGAAGAGGAGCCTCGATCGTCATTATATCGTGTGTGTGTGTGTGTGTATCCCCAGGCCAGGCACAAGAAAAGAATAAAGGGGAATCTAAGTACGAAAAAAGACAGCGCCCGCCAATTCGAATCGCAAAGAGAAAAAAACCCCCCTTGGAGGTGTCACTGTCAACTGCAACACAGCTTTGCGAAAAAAGAAAAAGCGGATGTGTCGATCGGAAAATAGCTATTTGTAACTTTTTGGCGGAAAGCCACAAAAGAACGATTGCGCTTTCTGGCAATACGAGTACGGGAGGGAGGTTTCAATAAGGGAGTTGGATTAGTCCAAGTTGATGTTTACTGGCTGAAGTTGCTTCGAGTTGGTGGCGCGGCTGGGTGGCTTTTTTTCCTAATTTGGGGCCCCCTTGCATTGGCTCACCCCGCCGCTGTTGTTCGATACTCTAAATCGCTGCTAATGGGTGCCGGAGCATCAATTAGTAGGGACGGACGGTGCAATCAAGAGACCGACGCACGCAGAGGGGACTTTGGCAGCGGTCATGAAGTCATGCTTTTATGATTTTATTTTTCCCATGATTCATGCATCACACAGGTAACTTCAGTAACGTTAACGGCACCTTTCCCTACTTAAACTAAGACGACAAGATAGATGCTGGAGGATAAAATGAGATAAAATGGATGACGATACTGAGGCAACTTCGCGCATAGTTGCTCCAGTCTAGTACTCTGGGACGGCATCTACACTGAGAAAGAGAACAAAAGGGATATTCTATCAGTTTAGTTAACAATATAATAGAGTAGAAGATTTAGTAAAGAGGCCTGCTACAGCCATCACTTGTAAACTCAAGTCAAATTTAGTTTCATCGTGGCATTATTCGCCTATTAAAGATTGTACACACCGTATACCTTCTACATTGCATTTTCCTATTTGCCAAAGAATCTTGGACTTTATAAAACAAGCCACCTTCCCATCCCCATTTGTAAGATCTCGACTCAATCGATCAAGACTTTTGTTAATCCATATTTGCATATCTCTCGCTTCGCTTTATGCTTTTTAAGAGAAACACATGTCTTCATGGCTGCTCGTCTACTCTCTCGACATGGTCTGTCCCTCTCGGACAGCAGCCAGAATCAGATCTTTGGCCTTCTCCACACCCTCGCGAGTGCCGGTAATCTCAATGGCCTCATCCTTGGCTTGGTCTCGCGGCACTTGGATCTGGCAGTTGCTCTGGTTTCGGATGGACTTGACCTTGCTTCCGTTTTGGCCGATAACGTAACGGTAAGTTCGGGGATCAGGCAGGATAAGATAACCTGTAGAGTCATTGGCCTTGGCCTGCTCCAGGGCCTTCTGGATAACGTCCTTGGCCTTGGCGACATTTTCAGCAGTTCCACGCAGGATCCATGGAATGTCACCCTCTTCGCCTGAATCAATGCTCACAATCTTCCAAGAGTGAACATCGGCCGATGCATCGGCATCATCGGTAATCAGGGGCAGAGAACCCTCAACAGCCCTGTCTGACGGCGTGGGCTTGGCAGGAATGCTCTGACCAGCATGGTCAACCGTCACTTGGTAGTTGTTGCGGAGTTGACGGAACAGCTGGCCATTGTTGGACACAGCATGGTGGGCGTTGCGAGGGATCTGAAGGGTCTCGCCTTGCTGCTGCTTGATCAAGCCAGCAATGTGTTCCTTGGCCGAGGCAACGTTCTCTGGCCGACCAGTAACCTTAACACCCGTCTTGCCGTCACCCTGGCGTGGAATGTCAATGGAGACGCTGAACTGCGACTCAAGCTGGCGCTTGGCATCTCCGCCTCGTCCAATGAGAGTTCGGTGCTGGTCGATGGGCACTTCCACAATCTCAGTGACCTGGCTTTCACGCTCTGCTACAATCTCCTGGATGCGCTTGATGATGTTGTCAACGACTTGAGTGCGGCCCTCTACCTTGATAGTGTTGCCGTCTGCTTCTTGCTTGGGGAACTGAATAGTTCGGGCAAGTGCACGTCTATCATCAGAACCGCCGGCTCCGACAACAATCTCACGAAGAGCGGATCCTATGACATGCATATTAGCTCAAAATTCTTCTTCCTATTTATCGTAGGCAGATAGAAAAGGGAAAGAAACTTACCGCTTGTTCCAATCAGGGCTCTGTGGTGCTTCTTGTCTACCTCAATCGTCTGGACGACAGTGTCATCAAACTCTGATCGCTTCTCTTCAAGGATCTGCTTTGCCTTCTTAACCTGAGCGGCAGTACCCTTGATGACAATGTCGACAATTTCAGTATCCCGGTCAGCCGGAACATCAATTCGAGCACCGGTCAACTGTCGAAGCTCATCCAAAGCAGCACCGCCTTGGCCAATCAGAGAGCCGACCTGCTTCTGCTGCACTCCGACAGTTGCTGTGTGGGAATGCTCCTCCAGGTACTTGTGAAGAGAGAAAATCTCGTCGCGGGCCTCATCGGCGCCCTTCTTGGGACCACGAATGATGACTTCGTCCGGAGCTTGCTGGCGGCGGGGCTTGCCGGCATCACTTGCCGCATCTGCGTTTGACTGGTCATCTCCGCCCTTGGCTGATCGGGGGAAGAAGATGAGGACCTTGTATCGAGTCTGCAGGCGGTTGATCTGGCTTCCCTGAGCACCAATCAGCTCTCGGTGGTACTTGGGGTCGATCTTGAGAGTATGGGTAGTCTCGTCCGCCAAGGTGCGGCTAAGGTTCTGGATGTAGGTGCGAGCCTTCTCAGCCTTGGCTTGAGGTCCCTTGAGCTCCACTTTGCCGTCTTGAACTTGAATTTCAACGTCAAATCGGTCACGAAGCTCCTTAATGTTGCTGCCACCCTTGCCGATAAGGTGGTTAGCAAACTTCTGAGGGAAGTCAAAAGATAAGGTGTATCCACGCTCCTTCTCGTCAATCTTCTCCTGCTCGATAAAGGCGGTGGCCTTGTCGGCAAGGGAATCGACAGCAGACTTGGGTCCTCGCAGAGTCACAGTAGTACCAATCTTGGTCACTCTAACGGGAATCTGAGCTTCCGAGCGGCTCTCCTGCTCCTTCTTAATGAAGCGGCGCAGCTTCTCGTGGAACTTAGCGGGGACGTCAAGAGCCACGCTGCTGAGCTCTTCTTGGCTGTTGATGAGGCTAAGGATGTGCTTTTGAGCGTCATCCAGTGCCTTTTTGAAAGCGCGTGCCTCAGCATCTGTGGGCTTGGCACGAGGAGGCTGGTAAGCGCCCTCAGCAGGGTCGGGGCCCTCGAAGACGAGGAGCACCGGAAGATTAGCCTCTGAAGCCTCCGGAACAACGACATGGACACCAAAATCCTTCTTGATTCTGGGCGTGATATCGCTGCGCAGATGCTGGTGGAAGAAGGGGTCAACGGGGACAGTCTGCATACGCGACGGCGGGTGTCCGTTGAGAATGGCAGTAATCTCCGATTGCGCACGAATGGCGTTCTTACCCTCACGGGAGTACAGCTCCCAAGGCAGGGCGCCGTCCTGAGAGAAAGGAGTGTTGATGTGAGTGTTGTAGGCCTTCTCGAGACGCTCAATCTCTCTGCGCTGGCGAAGGTACCTGGTGATGTTGGCAGCGTGAGCAGCGGCGCCGCCAGGAGCATTGCGGTGAGATCTCGAAATGTCAATGTTTGACATTTGCATACCCATGGCGAGGTCCATGGCTCTCTCCAGACCGGCCTGCACCTGGGCGGGAGGTCCAACAACGGTGATCATGTCATCATCTTCTTCTTGGGGGAACAGGATGGCACAGCCAGTCTCGTTGAAGAAGTTCTCCAAGGGAATACCGCGCTGACCGATGATGAACTGGTGCCTGCCTCTTTGGATAGAAAGCTGCTCGGCTTCCAGCTGTCTTTGCAACTCAGCGGCGCGGCGTTCAATCTCAGCTCGAGCCCTTTGCACGGCAGCACGGTCACCAGCAAGCAGGATATGCTCGTCATCGACACCGGCAGGGGCAAACACGGGCCGTTGACCAGGGGCTGGTGCAACCGGAAGGGGTGCGGATGAGTACAGCTGCTGTGTGGGGACACGAACCTGGACTCCATTGGCTTCTTCGAGTGCCTGCGCCAGAGAATTTCCAGGTCCGGCGATGAAGGGGTAGAAAGCAGCAGGGATGCCCCGCACTTTGGTTTGAGTGTTGGCAGAACGCTCGCCAACGATCTTGAGAATCTCATCCCGAGCATAAGCAGCAGCGAGGGCATGGCCCTCCACGATGACATCGACTTCAGCCTCGCCATCTTCATCATCAACAGGCTGGCTCTCATCGGACTTGGGCAGCTGGATCTTGGCACCAGTCTTCTCCTGGAGAGACTTAATCGTAGCACCACCCTTGCCGATGATGAATGCTCGGCTGGATTGAGGAATGGGAACCTTGATGGAGACCTTCAGAGGTGGAAAATTAGCAAGGGACAAAAGGCCAGAATATGGACATATTTCGGGTACGCACCTTTGTTCCGATCTGACCAACCAGGTCCTTGAGTGCCTGTTGAGCAGCTTCCTGAGGACCAGTAGCAATGAACTTGAGGTGACCATTGGGAGACTGGGTCATGGTGATGTTGGCACGAGACTTGCGGTTGATATCCTTGAGGATATCGGGGATTGGCCGTCTAAGCTCGGAACGAGGGCGAACGTGCGTAGGAGCGAGGGTGTAAGTCTCGACCCTGCGTCCAGGAATGGCCATGGAGGGGGTAGGGGCCTGAGCAGACGGGGTCGAGGTGCCAGATGCCGGAGTGGACGAACGAGAAACGCCGTTGGAGCCTCCGTTGGCATTGCTCTTGGCTCCCCAGATGGGGGCAACGCTAGGGCCCTTGCCTTTGGGAGCTCCAAGCTCTGGGAAAAGCTCGTGAGACTGGGTATCGAGAGCATTTTGCTTGGGCTTGCTAGCCGCCTTGACAGCGGGAGCAGATCCAGAAGCAGAGGCATCCTCAGTCGCGTGCGTGGGCAAATCGGGATCCGGCGCATCCTCAACAGTCACATGGTGCTGCTGGAGACGTTGGGCGACGGACTCTTCGCCAGCATTGGCGAGGCCGGCAGCGACAGTTTCTTCGGAAGCCATTATAACACTCGAATTGGGGGCGTCACACGTGGATGGAGACTAGATGGGAGCACTGATCCCGCAGCAGTAATAAGTCAGCAAAAAAAGGCACTAGAAACTCCTCTGGGCAGCCATTGAGGACAGCTGTGGCGAGGAATGTCGCCAGCAGCTGGTCCAATGGCTGCACTAAAGCATTTATCGTCAAACTCACCACACTGCAGTATGTGCGGGCAAGTACAGGAAGCCTTTGGGCTTTGCGGGTAGCGGCACAAGACGGTTACGAGACCAGATAGCGGGGAGTCAGGCGATGCTTTTTTGTTAAGTCTGTGGTGTCTAGAACATTGTGCAGACAAGCCAACAGACGACGAATACCAGAGACCAGAGGGGAGAACCAGAAGACAGGCGGCGGCCGGGCGACGACAAGCAGAGCCGGTGAAGCAATTTGGGGAAAGATGAGGATGCAAGTTGAGGGTGAGGTGGAAGTTTCTCCAGCGTTCTCCAAGGAGCTCCGTCCCTAAAGGGTACGTACCTCGCTGGCCTTATGCCACGACACCGACCCCAACAAGCTCGGAGCGGGACTCTGAAGTGGCGGCTTGCCAATGGCACCACCGCCGAGCCATGACCGGTGCTAGAGCTCCGCTCCCTACCGCCAGAAGCCCAAAATGCGCCAATTGGGAAGAAAAAAGGTTGAAGATCATGTGATACTTGCTTGCTCTGGCAGTCTTATCGCCCTTATCGAGAGATTATGGCGGATGTGCTTTGAGTTTATATGGACTGCGATTTAAGCAAGGACAGTTGGAGCTTGGGACAATATGAATTCATAGAGTTTCTAAGAATATTAAATTTCAATGATATTATATCCATATCTATTTTATGTAGTAGTACTCTTTGCAGGTTTCTACTGCAAATTTAACCATTCACTTAGGAGTGTTTTACAGTCAGAATCTCTTAATGCGCAACCCGCCCAGACTTGGGTTCTCTCAATCTTCATCTACCTGAGTTTTAATATGGCTAAGTGATTATATAAGTAAGTAGTTATTGCTCTAGGCTACTCTGTATCTGATTTCTTTCCGTCTTGCGCAGAACTCTGAGAGGTTCACAATCATAGCGTGTTTCTCCAGCCGCAGGCGTTGTGCACGGATCCAATGGCGGTACGAGATGCAGCAAAGCCACCGAGTGTAGTAAGCTTTGAACTCGCGATACCAAAAACAAAAAGTAAAAGTAAGATCTTATGATTCTTTCACTTTTGTTAACTTTATGGAAATTCTGCAATGGGTCAAAGAAGTTAATTTCAGTGATAATCGTTGCATAGCGCCTATTCAATGAATAGACACCCTGGCATCCATTCTGTTCACCAACTTATATAACTTGTTATTTGCCGCCAGAATAACTCCTGTATGAAGCAAAACGACTCCTTTGCTAGAGCGTAGCATCGCCAACCTCTCTTTGGCATTCTGAATATTAGAGTCTGAGTATGCAGTAATTTGAACTTTTGTTCAACTTCACAATACTTTCAACCGTGCATACTTGCGCGCATGTACTTTCACCCATCATTACCCTTCCGTGGGCAGCCAGGCCGTGTAGCAGCAAGAGAAAACGCCAAACCAGTTGAAAGAGCCGAGGCCCGGCTGCCGATTTTAATCGACGAAGAAGCCGAAGAAACAAGTGATGGCACTCTTCTCGTATCTAGAACTAGGCGGTACTGGTAGGTTTTGATCACAGACGCGTCTCATCGAGAGACAGACCAGGCGCCTAATCCCGTCTCTGCCATGCACCGACCTGAGACCAAAACTCGGGCTAAAAACAACCCTTTGGCGCCTACAAGATCAGAATGGCTGCGTTCGGCCCGCCAGTGCCGTTGCAATAGTCTCCGTGAAGGGAGCGCTAGGCTTCACAATCCCTTGGCTTGCCTGGGACGAGAGGGCAGAGTTCAAGGGATACCCCTGGTCCGATCGAGCTACTGCTGTGTTATACGAGAAGAAAAAGCAAAGAAAATAAGACAATGTCGCCCTGTTGCGCTTTACTAAGCGTCAAAAAGCAACGACTGCATACCTATTTGATAAGAAAAAGAAAAAAAAGTCAGCTTGAATGCTTCCATCAGCAGTCAGCTTGTTACAGCTGGCAAAGAAATTGCATGGAATGGGAGCGGGGTGTCTTAAAACAGCCCCAGCACCATGAAACAATGCGGTTGCCCACCGCCTTGCAGCAAATTAATGAGCTGAGATGCGATGCCGTCTATTTCGTATGTGCAAGTATGGCGTAAATACGGATTGGCAGCTCCCCTTTTGCATACCAGACACATTGTGAGAAGTGACTGTTTTCCCTGGCTGCGTGCGATCGATATTATATGCTGCAGGGATGGCTGAAAGACCCTGCGGCGGCACGTCTCTGGAACAGCCTCGTGTCTTCAGCGAGCCACGCCCAAAGTGCACTAGGCTGCATAGAAACCTGACGTCGTCAAGTCCAAGGCCACGAGTAGATCCTAATGAGCATCAACTTTACTGTATACTTTATTTGGCGAGGTGGCTCTGAATATCAGTTGATGTATCACAGCTGGCTTATCAACGCCATAGACGTTTAGTTCCCCATATGATAGGCGCTGGCGTATTTTGGTAGGTGGATTTTTTGCCCTTCTGCTGTAGGGCTTACTATTGATATCAATTGGCCATTCATGATCCTCCATCTTCTTGGAGATTTTAAGTCGCAAAGCAGCGCTAGTATAATCGCACTGGGCCACAAAGCAAACGAATAAGAAAGAAAAAAAAAAGAAGAGAAAAAAACGGAGCAAAGCCAGGATCAAGAATCGATACTGTGCTCGAACCGATACTGTGCTTGTGAGAGGCTTTTTTTCCCTTCTGCTCCGGCTTGTATTGTAGTCTACATAGCTGGGCATCAACTTTCGAACCCCGAGCTTCGTATTTTCGGCTGCAGTTGGCGCGCAACATCAAGCCGCCCAGAATCGCAAGGAATAGCGCCTGATGAACGGCTGGGCCTGTAAGTGAGCAGGGCTGGCAAGGCCGTATTTGGCGGCGATCTGCACCAGTGACGATTTCAGCAGCAAGCAAGCTGGAAATTCTGGGCGCAGCATGAGCTTCCCCAGCAAACGACAGGGGGGCCAGATACGGGGCAACTGAATTGATTGACTGGCAAACTGGGTACATGTACAATGTCAATAGGTAGGTAGGCAATAGGTGCTCGGCTCACGCAGATGCAGCAGATAGAGGTCAACTGCTGCGATTTGCCCGTCACAACGCAGATATGCTCCTACGCTCCTACGCAGCCGTCACATCGCGGTGCGTCTATCGTGGCAGTTTATTTGGCCAGCCCGGCCGGGTCCCCAGTAATAAACGCCTCATGCAGGCTTCATCCTGGCCCAGCGCCGACTGCACGTCTTCTCTGTGCCACTAGACGCGGGCCCCTCCCCCTCCTTCATTCAGTAATGCTCACCAGCCTGTCTGCGCTATATCCACCATGTGCCCGCGCCAGCTCCGCACTGGGTCTCTACAGTGCTGGATTTGGCTTCCATGCCTCAACTGTCTTATCATCTCTTTTCGATATATGCCGAGTAGACGGCGCGAGGTTTGAAGAGAGATGTCGCTGCATTCGACTTAGGCTATGCATGTATGGAATGCAGGCCAGAAAGCTCGTGTACTAATACGTAGGTAGTAACGAATAGAGAAACACAGGCTCTGAATTGAACAGGGCCATGGCCGCCTTCACCCAATGGCGGAGCATTGACTTATACCTGACGGCGCAACTCGAGACTGCGCGCGCATTGTGCTGCTATTTTGGGCCGTGGCTCATTCACTATGCGCTCTGCCAGCCTTGGCCTGTTGGGCGGATGAATACGAATAAAGGCGCATGCGGCGGATCCAACAGACATTCACACACAAATAGACGTGATCAAGATTTTTTTTTCTCTTCTGTTTCTGTTGCATCTGTGCGTTGAAAATCACAAGTGCCGCGAAGACAGTTGGTCGATTCGCAACTTGTCCCACCCCCCGACCCGCATACGCAGCACAGTGCATTTTCACTTCCGGCTCACACCTGCTGGCGCCCCTCCTCGGCCTATTATCTCTTGAACAATCTGCCACCATATGGGGCCCGCGACAAGAGCAGGCAGGGAATAGCAAGACGAGCCAAAATTGAAGGTGGACGGGATAGAGAGCAGAATCCCGGGAAGCAGCCTTCCAGAGCGTCGTGTTTCGCTCGGGCTCCGTTCATATTTGCACGTTTGATGGACTGTACCAGATACCTGCTAGAGTGCCTCTTAGTGGCTTCCGTACGCCATCTCACCTCGCATTCATGTTTCTTTGTCGTCCCATGCCTCACTTCAACTCACCATTTTTGTTTCCGCAACAGGCCATCGTCGAATCCCGGTCAGCTCTTTCTTGTCTTCGCCCCCAATCGCCAGCCTGCTCTGCTCTGGGCAAGTAATTGGTTGGCCACTGTTGCGCCGGCCGTGTCCTCTCCAAAATAGATAGTCGAGCCACTGGACGGGCCACAGTCGGGGACCCTCACTTTTTGTGTGGGCTGAGACAGTCTTAGGTAAGGGTGCGTGCGTGCTCGCAGCAGCAGCAAAACCCATTCGATCCATCATGGACCGCCAGAGCCCGCCGTTGAACGGCACTTCCCAGCGTCGCAAACTCGTCAAGCGGCCCCCCTCGCACCAGCCCTACCCGCGCTCCTCGTCTGGCTACGACACAGAGTCGCTCGACGGCAAAAGCTCCAGCTCGCGCAACCTCCGCCGGGCCCCCAGCGCTCCGCCAGTGCGCTCCAACGGCTCCAACGCGTCCAACGGCTCGTCGTCCCCGCGACCGCACCCCTCGAGCTTCGCCCAGCGAACGAATGCATCGCCGGGCCTGGGCCACGGCGACTTCTCCCGCACCAACCGATTCCGCCTGTCCGACCCCAACCAGAGCGACCGCCGCGGCAACGAGGACCTGATCGGCGCGCCCTTTGACGGCACCAGCATCCTCAACCACATCGAGGCCACCAAGTTCCAGGTCACCAGCTCGCCG